TCTTTCTTTCTTTCTTTCTTTCTTTCTTTCTTTCTTTCTTTCTTTCTTTCTTTCTTTCTTTCTTTCTTTCTTTCTTTCTTTCTTTTCTTTCTTTTCCCAGATGTGGCTCTATCTGTCTTTCATTCAGAGCTTTCCTGAAGTCATTTGTGTGATGTTCATTTTCTTTCTGTCCGTTTTGACACATCTTGTTTTGTGCTTTTAATTCAGTTTGGAAAATAGAGCTTTCATGACTACTTCACTTTACACATGGAGCTTCCTAACCTGTGGTGCTTCTATGCAAACATGTGTCCAATGTTCCTCATTAGTACAGTTATGTCTGTAGGGATTTAGGATATAAATCCAACAAAATGAAATCAAGAAGTCATGAAATCCCTACTATCCGCTTTAAAAAATGTTCCCACAAAAACATAAAAAGACTTCAACATCTGCAAGTGCATTATTATTGGTGGTCTTTTTAAGTATCATCAATCTCAATGACCATTGCAGGAATTAAAAAAAAGAGTACTTTTTTTTTGCTTGAGTTTTTTTTAGGCATGTTTTTTACTTTTCTTTTATTGAACCACATTTGGCATGTTCTTTACGACCAGCAGTCTTGTGACTTTTTCATTGATTGCGGATCAGATGAAAAAGTCATTCTCTTGTCGTCTGTCACCGCTAGCACATCGCATCATCAATGCTTGACATTACTCTGGCCCTGATCTTCAGTCAGCTCCCACACCCTGAATGCTGGATGCCTCGTTCCCATTGGAGGCTCTCAATTGCTTTTGGCTTGCTTTGCCTGCTCGGTCCTCGGTGCTTGCCTGGTTTTTGTGTCTGTGCGGTGTTGAAGTTTGTCTTCAGAGGTCTTTATATTTATCCATGTGTGTTTGTATGTGTGTGTGTGCGTGTGTGTTGATTACTGGCTTTTTGCAGAAACCCTCTGCAGAGGCTCCATTTGCACTGTGACATGTGTGTGTGTGAGACTTTGGTCGGATAACTGTTTTTTACTAGAAGACCATAACACGTATTGTTTAGTTATCTTGTTATGGTTCAAACTTTTCTGATATCCAGGGGCCCGGATTATTTCAATCCAAATGTGGTGTGTACAGACACCATAGAGTCAGAGTAGTTCTGTTCTTCTTCTCTGCCTTCTTTCCTTTTTACTCAAATTTCCTGTGGCACTAAGTATCTGCAAAGTGCTGTCTCCTTCCTTTCCAATCTTGCTCCCATCAGCCTCGGTTGTTCTGTTCAGCGGGGCACATTCTAGGGAGTCAGCAGTAGAAAGAAGTTTCTGAAAAAAGGCTTTTGTTCGACAATGTTTGCCTGTCACTGAGATAAGATTGATGAAATGTTGTGTTTGGCCAGTGACCTCGGCTCAGACTCGCAGACGGGTGCTTTGAGAAGCCCTTGTCAAAGCTGAGGATAGTGTCTCCCACACACTTTATATCATCCTTCCACACCCCTTTCCATCTCTTTTTCTGCTTAGACATATGGCAGCAATCAGGAGACAGCCACTAAATGCATGGCCTCAAAGTAGGGCCAGACTTTTGCATAGTCATTTAGATGTGCATGTGTAGGACCTAACTCTTATTAAAAAATAGTTTGTCTGTCACTGCAGTTCAGTGCATTAGTATTTCCAAGCTGTCACACGCACACAAATGTAATCAAAATTAGATTAGGAAATTAAAAGTGACGGAGTGATTATAGAGCTTGCAAACAATGAGGTCATGATGCATTCCGAACTATTTTAAATGCAAGCCTTATTTCATGTCTGTGCATGACTGCTGTCATTTAAAACACACCTCCAAGGTTATTTGAAATGAAAGAACAGACTTTGGATCCAGACTGGATTTCTGTTTCGTGCTATGCTGTGCTGTACAGCATAAACTATGAGTGCAGATCTCAGCCAGCGTATGCTGATATAGTAATGACAAGAGTTGGGCTCAGTTGGCGTCCTCTGCTCTTCAGGCCTTTGTGGTTTCCATTATGGCTCCATGGTTTCCATTAACCCCAGCTCCGGCAGCAGGGGGTTGGCACAGAAACTTTGCCCTGAACTTTACCCTATATCTTTGAAGGTTCTCAGTGAGGGTTCAAAACTTGAGGTGTGCAGACCCAGATATATTCACACTGTCAGGCATAAATAGAAATATTTCAACAACATGAAAATGGTCTTGGTTGCTTGAAATAACACTAATGTTCAGTATATCTGTCCACTAGTTTAATTCTGTATGGCTTGTTGCGGCAAAATGTGGCTATTTAAAAGAAGAGTCAGAAGAAAAGAAACTGCATTGCTTAATTATTTAAAAGCACCCCCGAAATGTGGTACAAAAGTTAGTAGAGTTTTAGAAAATGCATCATTTCTATCTTGGGCTTGCAGCAAGTTTCATCACTAACCAAAGGATTAGAACAGTAACAATCAAGTGACCTCTGTTGCTGATGTTTGAGCTCTCTTGTTTGTTCATTTTGTATTGTGTGTGCTCCTAAAGACATCCCAAGATGTCTTCTGAATGCATGCTTTGTTTGCACGCTCTTAGACACCCTTTTGCATCTAATGTCATTTTGTGCAACTTTTTCCTTTTTTTTTTGTTTATGAGATGTTGGACCTTTTTTGTTGAAAAGAAATTGCCACTGATGTACTATAATTTTTTTAATTTCTATTCACTTCACTTTTAGTTAAAGCTGTCTGGTTAAGACTTATTCATAGTCACTCAAATAGTGTGGATGTATTTTATTCTCAAAGTGGTTACACATTATTTAATTACATAAAACATTTGACAGTTTTTAGCACAAATCTTTTAGTAGTCGAGTGATCATATCATTGATGAGATTCAAATTAGAGGCTTGGTTATACAAGAGGAAGTGATATTTATGTGCTGATTAGATAAAAAAACAGAACAATTATTAATTGCTGTACATGCTATACACATGTATTTGAATGATGTGCTCTAAATGTGTACTTGACATCCATTAGCAAATGCTCAAGCAACAAAAGCTGAATAATATGCGCTGTTGATCTTATTACGCTGCTGTCCTCGTAAAGGGCATGTGGATGCTGTGGAAGTGGATGTGGAAGTAAAAAAGGATGACATATGTATATGCATTCTTTTTTTCTCAGTTTAGTTTGAAATGAGAAACATATTGTACCAAACACCACTTACTGGTCCCAGACATCCCAGCTCATCAGCTAGTAAGGCCTTTTGCTCAGCTCTGGCCAACCATGCAGTCATGGCTTCTCGTTAGATTCCCTTGAAGGGCAGATGCAACATCTGTGAAGATCATTATGTACTGAAACATCCACAAACTGTCATTCCCTCAGTATGTCTGTCACATTACTTTGCCAAGTCCACTTCAGTTCCTTCTTGTCTGCTCCATATGTCGTACTAAGCAGGAGAGCAGTCAAGTGATCTGGACTATGGTTCTCATTTAGCATCAATAAATATCTCTGTTTCCTTTAAACCTGCCAAACTGAGTCAGATTTCTGTGATGTTGGATGTTTTAGACATAGACTTTCAAAGGTTAATGTGTTCACCAGAACTTCATTCTTATGTATAAGATGGATGATAAAGGATTAATAGAAACCTGCCATCACTAATCTGGTTCAGTGATAAGAATGTATATGAGGAACAATTTTGACGACAATTTTTTATACGCATTGTGGTAAACTGTTCACAACTGTCCAATACTCAGGCACTTACAACTAAAGTGGTACAATTGTCTCCTGGCCCATCAAGTAGTGGATAGACTCTGGACTTTTACCATCAATGACAGTCAAAATACCTCTTTTTAATGGTCCTACAATTTTGACACACCAATCCTTTGGGAGTCTCTTAAACTCCTTATATCCTTAAATGTCAAAAGGCAGACAGGGGTAGAAGGGGAGTATCCGTGGGGAGGTGCTGTTAAGTCTCTTTAAAGATGCATTTCCAGGTCTAAGCAAAATCACTTGTTGGGTTACTGTCAAACTTTAATAAAGAAACCCTCACTCCAGCTGAACATCTTGAATACTCTGAAAATGATTTTTGTGATTGTTTTGTAATTCTTGTGTCTTCATTAAAAGCTTTGCATGCAGTAAATAGAACTACAACCCTCAAATCAACTACGTAAATATGGGAGAATTACAGAAGCACCAACAATGTCATTGTTCAGACAATGACCATTCAAACTCTTCAACATCGGCTTCAGTCTTAAAGTGTAATTTGAAGCTGGCCTTTAAAGTTGATCACTCTAGGGTGCAATCAGAGGACAAAGCAGGGACACAACCCCAAACTCAATTGTTCCAAATGAGCCTTTCACTTTCAGCTGTAATCAGCTCAGTGCATCTTCCTACAGATCTCCCTGCTTTGATTAACTGCTGAATATTGCCAGAGACCTGTCTCATATTTGAGGTTCTGTTTAGAGTTTTTGTCAACCACAAGTCTCCAAATCATTTTGAGAGTTTTAGTAATGCTCTGTATAAAAGCACGAGAATATTAATGTACATGTTTTTGTCAGCATGAATTGTGCTCACAAAGGGGTGGTTTGGCCTGAGGGAGGGTTTTTATATTGACAACGGATGGCAGTCCAACCACTGTGGGCTGTTTGATTATATCTTTGATTTTCTTAGGTGGTTTAGAGTTGAGTGTTTGATTGCACTTGTCATACAGAATTTAAGCACTTTCATTACATGGGGGGAAATATCCTCTTTTATGGCAAAAAAGATATAATTCAGTTAGTTGTTTGCTTTGAGCAGATAATTCTTGACATGTCTATTTTTTTAGCTTAAATTTCAGTTAGATGTCAGACTGCTTTGGTTTGACTGATTATCTTTGGGAGACATGCCAGTGTCTGCAGTGATTTCTGTTGCCCACTCAAGATGATTTCTTCCCCGCTTTTAGGCACATTGTGGTCTGTGGTCATATTACCCTGGAAAGTGTCTCCAACTTCCTCAAAGACTTCCTACACAAGGACAGGGATGATGTCAATGTAGAAATTGTTTTTCTCCATAAGTAAGTTAATCTTTTCCCTTGTATATATAGGGTTGCGCTTAACAGCAAACTGCATATGCGGTATCCATTCATGTGCTAATCCTTTTTCCTCTTTCCTCTGATTGCTAGTATTTCCCCTAATCTTGAGCTGGAAGCCTTGTTCAAACGCCACTTCACCCAAGTGGAGTTCTACCAGGGATCTGTTCTCAACCCACATGATCTGGCTCGAGTGAAGGTACTTTTGAAGACTACAGTTTAAAAGAAATGAAATCCATTGCAGAACACATTTTCAGAGATAAAGGATAATTTTGAGTTTCTAAGTTTAAAATATTGCTGGTTTTACACACATCAAGAAACAATTAACAAAAGCAGTTGTAAAAAAAACAAAAACAAAAAACAGTAAAACAATGAGTCATTGTTACTTTTCTGTCTTTTTCTTATTATAAATGCATATAAGCAGAAGACAGAATAAAGTAAAATTATCCTATGTTGGCCAGAATTAAACCAGTCTATTGTTATCCAAGAACAACAGCTGTTTTGAATAACTCTTTATATATTGCAAGATATCAACCTTGGTTTTACCCTTAAAGTATTTATTGGGTCTTTCACTTGTAGATCGAGTCAGCTGATGCCTGCTTAATACTTGCCAACAAATATTGTGGAGATCCTGATGCTGAAGATGCCTCCAACATCATGAGGTATCCATTCCACTTCTCTTTGAAATCAGTAAAAATGGACATTCTGATTCTAAACATTTCCAATTTGTCACATGTCAGTGCGGATGTGTTACAGTCATTGTGTCTTCCTACCTTTCAAGGGTGATTTCCATCAAGAATTACCATCCCAAGATAAGAATCATTACACAGATGCTACAGTATCACAATAAGGTAAGATTTCAAGAGACCTGTGAGAAATTAGGTTGAATCCCTTTTATTTTGACTTCTCCAGCCTCATACACAACGTAATGACTTTTTAAAAGATGTACGACCCATTTACGTAGCGCGTTTTACTACGTGTCATACACAGTGACCTCTTAAAAGGGTCCACTCGCAGTAAAAGTGCTAAGAACTTAATATTTCAAATCATGACTAAAGCTCTTGTCAAGTGTGTGCGTACCTCACTTTTCAGTGCACACACTGCAGCATTAAGAGCCTCAGATATTTGCACTGATGGCAGTAATGACCTACGTAGAATATTTATAAGCAGGGCCTTTTCAACAAGGTTGTGACACAGAATACAGTTATTTATAAATCATTTAATGCCTATACTTAATTATAAATGGTAAGAAGACAATATTTAAGATGGTAAAATGGAGCAACACATAATGTAAAGAAAAAAAACTATAGCAGGATTGTAGGGTGCTCCATCTTCCTTTAATGAAAATAAGTAAACAAAAATTCCAGGAAAAACATTTCCTGTTTCAGGAAAATAAAAGGAAGATGTATGAGTATGAGCTCAGCTGTTTGGTGCCTCCTCTGTTATGTTTTATGTTTCAAAATGCATCGAATGTTTTTAAAGGACAGTGTGTTTGGACAGCTATTGAGCCAAGCTGCTTTAAAATGTGCAAAATGGGGTTTGGGAGTGTCTGAAGGAAAACACTGTCCAGCTGAAAACATTTGTTTGTGTAAGAGCTCTGTCATCTTTATGGTTTTGTGAAGGAGAGCTTAAACAGCTAAGCAGCCCAACAGGTCCCTCAGCAAAAGCGCGCATAGTTTAAAAAACAAAAACAAATATGAACTCGCACTTGTATGTTTGACAGAGATTTTCTGATGTGTTTTTGAGCCGCTGTGGTTTTCCACAACAGGAAGCGTGTTTGTTTTTTAGTGCAACCCTGTCTGAGATCCTGAAGATCAAACCATTCGGTGCTGTTTTTCTGGCCTTGTTTATTGTTTACAGGCATTTTTTAAGATTTCTTTTGCTGGTGCAATCCCCAAATTCTTTGAGGACTTATTCTTAAGTTGAACTGAACTGGTTTACACGCAGTATCTCAGTGGTGAAACCACCTGCCCCAAGACTGGGGTTTTAGGGAATTAAAAAAGAAGTCTGACTTGATGAAAATTAAATATTAAATTTAGCATCTTCACACATCCAGCATTGATGAACAATTCAAAGAAATAAATCAACATTTAGTGAAGTACTTCCTCCAATAATCCAATAAGTTGTGACTAGTTTCCCGGTAAGTTTTGGCTGTTTAATGAATACGTTTGTCTCCACAGCTTGTGCTTGTACGAGCTCTGGTGACCAGCTGCAAGTTGTCTCCTGTGATCTTTAGTTTTTGTACAAACTATTCATAATATAGAAGACTGAGAGGGCTTTGGCCCTCTGGTTGGTAGGTTGGCTGTTGTTAACTTGATCCAGATGACTGTGTATTTCCAGTCAGAGTCAGCTCTCCGCACGTTGACTTTAGCTGTGTATTGGCAATAAAAATGTTACGGTGGTATCAACCTCTATGTGTCATATCCAACTGGTCTTTAAGTTTAGTTTAGTTTTTTTTGTGACTTTGTGTTTCATGACCTGAAGGCCCATCTGCTGAACATTCCAAGCTGGAACTGGAAGGAAGGTGATGATGCTATCTGTCTTGCGGAGCTGAAGGCCGGCTTCATTGCCCAGAGTTGTCTGGCCCAGGGCCTGTCCACCATGCTGGCCAACCTCTTCTCCATGAGATCCTTTATTGAGGTAACACAGAGAGAGATTACACACACATGCCTGTCCATCTAAACAGAATAGTAAGGATGAACAAATTCTACTTTTACACTTTTACACTGGGGTTGATTTATTCGAAGACTGGAAGTGAGCTTGCCTAAATGGATAAAGTAACCCTGGTCCTCTGTGACAGATGGACCAGATCTATAAAGCAGGGCACTCCCTGAGAGATTTGTACCTCTTTGTTCAGAGAAAGACTTCCAGTACTCGGTTAGAGTCATTTTGGGAAATGTTTTTTTCATAGTAATATCTCATGTGGAATCTGTTCAGTGCTTTTGTGGCTTAACATTAAAGAGGTGCTTGCCTCCATCACAGACCTTTTCTCATGTCATAAACATGATGGATCGTCTTATAATGACCAGGCTGATGTTTTCCATTGGAACAGATGCACACCAATTTTTGGCTGCTTTTGGACAGACAGTATTTCTGTTTTCTTCTTCTTTCCGTACACATGTGATTTTTTCTTCTTGTATTTGTTATCTTTTTTTGGACAGATTGAGGAGGACACGTGGCAGAAATATTACCTCGAGGGAGTGGCTAATGAGATGTACACGGAGTATCTGTCCAGTGCCTTTGTAGGCCTTTCTTTTCCCGCTGTATGCGAGTGAGTGTAACTTCCTGAGAATTTGGTAGTGAATACAGCAAGTAAAGGGAATGCAGAGATGTGACCCTGTGTCAGTCGACTGCTGTTATGCTGTTTAACTCTAATGGTGCTCTTGTTCTACAGACTGTGCTACGTGAAGCTGAAGCTGTTGCTTATTGCCATTGAATACAAGTCTGAGCAGAGAGAAAGCAGGTTTGTATTTTGAATCACTTAATCTCATAACCTAAGTGCAGCCTTGGTAATGATAAACAACTTAGTGGTTTGATTAAGGTACACTGTCTGATATAACAATTATAATCATCTGATCATAACCATACTGAATTTTCTCCCTAAGTCCTCTTTACAGCTGTATTGGAATTAGTTTGGAACACACTAGAAGTCTTAGTAGTAACCACAGTTAAATTTGGCTTCTTGATAAAAACACATATAAGATTAAAGAAAACAACATATATCTGCTTACACTGCACAATAACCAAGTTTTTTTTCATTCTTTTTGCCGAAACCAATTGGTGATGATTCTTGAATTTTCTAAAAATGAACCAAAGGATGTTTCTGATGATAGTTTTGAAGAAATCTTTCAAACGTTTGACTTTTTATAAGATTTTACAAAAAAAAACATTTCCATTTATACCTTTATAGATGTTTAGAATAGTTGCCTTTTGTTGTTACTTTTATTATACCTTCAACTCCAAATAACCAATTTATCAGTGATCCTGTTCACCCTGTGTGGTTACTTCTAACATGACTGTTAATATAACAAGACACTATTTTCTTCAACATCAGCTGCCAAATCCCACTCACCCTTCCCCATTCGCCTGTGTCAGGGGTTTTTCTTCATACTTACTGATATCGATGTATGCTGCATGATAAAAGCTGTTTTCATCAGTTATCTTATCAGTTAAAAAGGCTGGAATAAAATGTAAATATAGAGAACGAGAAAAGAAACCCCCGTATTGTACACAGTAGCACAGGGAAAACAGTGAATGTTAAGCATGAGGCACTCTTACTTTTATCATTGGATGTTTTCTGTTGCGGAAATGTGTTAGAGATTTCCAAATGATTTCAGTCTAGGCTGTGTACATTTTATAGTTTTTGATGTAATGTGATTTGATAGTAGTATATTAAGATTGAATTTTGCCTGTTTATTTCAAGCTAGTTTTTTTTTAATGCACTTGATTTGAAGTATTTTTCCTAGACTATCAGACCTCTTTGTCTGTTTTCGCAATATTTTGTGCCAATTTCCTCTTTTTAAAAGATTTTTTTCCCCCACAGATTTGTTGCTGCCGTTGATTTTTAAAGTAGATTTAGGCGTTGATTTTTAGGAGAAAGGACATCAGCACTGGACAAGCAACACATGCTTCCAAATAAGGCACATCTAGTGCATATACATAACAACATAAGCAGCAGCTATATTCTCCTTTTTTTTCTGTTGATGATCACTGTTTGATTTGAGATTTTTTCTTGTTGTTTGCAGAAGCCGAAAGCGGTATGCCCTCTACCTTTTCTTACTTCCAAAGTTCCGCCCAATCTTCACCACTTTAAAGCTTCTGACTTTTGGAGTTTCCCCAGGGATATTTGTCCCAACTCTATCTCACAGGCCTCTTTTTCTAACTCCTTTTTATGGTGTCCCTTGTGCTTAATGCACTAACTTCTTTGCAGGCAGAGGGAGGATAGATAAATTGGACATGTTTGTAGAAGTGCTGTTTCTTTGTCTTCGCTGTTGTCGGTGTACCAAGGCCAAACACTCACCCTCTTCATATCTACCTCTTATTTGATCTTTTCCGTTTTGTCCTCGACCAAACCCTTCGCTGAGTTTATTTCTCTCACTTTCCGTTCCTTTTTCAGTGTCGCTCAGTAGATTTATTATTGTATGTTAGTTCTGAGAAGCAAAACATTTCACTCATTGGTGTTTTTATAAATCATTGCCTGAAAAGGACGTTGTGGTTACATGTCTCACTTCCTATACACATATCTGGCATCAAATGTGGTGTCAGTACTGAAAATCTGATGTTTCACATTTTGGATATAGTCTTGAAATAAATGGACTTATTACTGGCCATTGCTGAAGGCAGTGGTAGATACAACGGCATGTTTTTTTCTTCTTCGTGGTTTTAATACTAGCAGCACAACAATTATATTTACTTTTGAGAATTTGCCAATTGAGGAAAGGCATGCTGTTTAATTTGAATAGCGTCAGGTTTTTCCAAACTGAAGTTCAGTCCCCATGCTCCACATTTCTCTTTAGCATTCCATCAGTCTCTCATGCTCTCAGTGCTATATGTACATACATCCGTCTATATTTGAGTGGCTGAGTACGTTTGATAACTCTGAGAGGGAGCGTTTGTGTGTATGTGCGTGTTTTTTGTGCATCTCAGCCACCATGCTTGTGCGTCTCTCGAGTAGATGTTCTTAAGTGAGGTCACTTCCTGTCAGTTTGGTGTTTGAGAAACAATCCAACTGCACAGAAGTTACTGCAACCGTCTGCATCTACGTTCCTGTCCCTATACCTGTATTGCAGTGGCTATACCTTTCTGTCCGATTACCGTCCTCTTCATGCTGTTTGGTAATTGCATGCTATGACACGACCCCTTAAGCTGTTTGATGCTTACCTTGTTGCTCACAATATGAGGTTTTGATGCTTCTTTAAGCCTTGATCATCAGTTCATACCCCATTAAAGAAAGAAATCATCGACAGATACGCCTGTAAAATCTCAGATTTGGGCAGCAATGTTTGTGGAACTGTCTTGATTTGATTTATTTATCTGAATGTATTTTCACTATTAAGCATGCCAGGTGTAATGCAAGTTTCATTTCTGGGGGCTTTCTGATCAATGAGTCAATGTTAAAAGATCTTTTTTTTGTTTTTGATGAAGGAGAAATATCTGCATGACCAGTAAAATTTGATCTTTTATAAATCCAGCCGCTCCCTAAATATATAGATGTATTTTGATTTCTCCAACGTAACCTTTTTTTTTTTCCATCGCTCAAAGGAAAGATGTTTTGTCTTAAATGTTTTCAAAATACCGTATAAACCGGAGTGTGATTTGAATTGCATATATTCAAATCAATTGGCTAAAAGGCATTACCAGAATACTGCTTGAAAAATGTCCACCCCTTCAGTTTTGAAAGCTGAAACCACACTCAAAATCATCTTTACTCTGGGCTTACAGTTGAGGAAGTGTAATCCTTAAGCTTTTATGGGTTCAGTGTTTTGATATTTGATTCACACTCACATCATTGATGATTGTTGCCCACAGGTAACCATTAATGAAAAGTGTGAGTGTGTGAGTGTCTGTGTGTGTGCGTGTGCATCCAATTTATGTTTGTATTTTCTTTGTTGTAGTCTAATTAATGGGGAATGATACAGCCAATTCACTTTCAGTGCTTAGGGTTTCAGATTGAGTCAAACTGAAATAAAATAATGTCTGATACATGTGGAACATTTAGCTGTGATTATGTTCACAAATACAATTAATAAATATTAGAAGTTTTTGGCCTCACTACAGTTCCCATGTGGAATAATCATCAGTGGAATGGAATCGCTTCTGCTTTTAGGGAACACGTCCCACGTTGGACAACTTTTTTCACCATGTATATATTGTAATAAACAGTTCAACTTATCTATGGTAGAGTCACTAGTATTGGTGAGAAAAAGAGCTGTTCATTCCCTTGCATCTCACTGTCAAATACTAACCGAGACAACGACTTTTCCTGTACATTCTCTGTACTGCAGCCATGCCTCAGCGGCCATCATAACATTTGTTTTGACCAGACAACTGAGAGCTGAGTCTTAAATCACTCCATGGCCATAATTTTAATTCTTTCTGCCCATGTCCCTTTACTTGTACCTCTCTGTCCCTCTTCTCACCCCAGGCAAATCAAATATCATTCTGTAATGAAAAGAATTAAAATTCAGTGTGCGATCATACTGTTGTACATTTTGTCCATTCATCTGAGAATCCCATTAAAAAATGACCAAAAGAAGCAATTACGTTTATAGTAAAACAGCCATAACACAGTGAAGTGAGACAACCAATTTAAAACTCAAATGACCATTAACAAAAAATGCATTCACAGGGATAATGTGATGAAAATTCTGCAAACAAGTTCTGACTAGTTCAGTCCTGGTCCGATTAAAAGTTTCAGCAAGTGTGTGTACCATTCCTCTTGATTAGCATGTTGTGGGCATGAACTGAGTTTTTTTTCCTGACATTTAAAGTCTTTATGTGTCTGTATTTCTCTGATTTATTAGCATCCTCATCAACCCAGGAAACCATGTGAAGATGCAGGAGGGAACGCTGGGATTCTTTATTGCTAGCGATGCCAAAGAAGTAAAGAGGTGACTTAGTTGTCTTGTCCGGCAACTAGCCGGTGTTAAGATGATGACTGTTTTAAATGTGCCATTTTAAATGCCTAACATGTTTACTGTGCTGCATTTAGAGCATTTTTCTACTGCAAAGCTTGTCACGACGACATCACTGACCCCAAACGTATTAAGAAGTGCGGCTGCAAACGTCGTAAGTAGCTGTGTCTTTGTTCTGCATGAATAGCAGCCCCTTCCTTGTGTTCCTCTGACTCCAATTCACTACGTGTGGGTCTGTCTCTTGTACATGTGGTTTTACTGGACTGTAGGCAAATATTTGGCCTGTCATTGTGTCATTGTTGTTCTCTTCTCTGAAAATGCGTTATTAAACCTTCTTTGTGTTGTCACACCATTATACTCTTAGGAAAGTGTTTGATATGGGTCCTATTTGAACTGCCATACAGAGCAATTTATGGTACCATCATCAGTCAAAGCAGTTTTCGAGTAAACATTAAGCTGCTGTCATCTTTAGATTTGTTTTTCTTATTTCTCTAATTTTGACCATTGTTGTATTACTTTAGGGAAGTTATAACTTTTTGTGCAAGCTTATTATGCATGAGAAAGCGTGAGCTATCAAATAAAAGACAGTGAAATGTATGAATAAAATTAGATTATTAACAGCTGTAAAGTCACCACTGAGGTACAAAGCAATTCAAACACCCAAAAAATGCCGGCAGTGATTTTTTTAAATGCTTTTATTCAATATACCATATTCAGTTGTGGGACTATTTAACTCTTTAACCATGACCTGGTGACTGAGAATCTTCACAGACATTAAACTATTTCTAATTCTCCACAGTCAAAGTAATACAAATTCCATTTTAATTCAAACAAAACATAACCAATCAGGCAAGACTACCGCATGAATATAGCTATGTACTTTTGTCACATTTCAGAAAGTGTGTCGCTTTCTAAATCATTCAGATTAATATTTTTCTACGGAAAGGTCACTGGCAGTTAGAGTAGGCAGCTGATATTTACAATAGCCTAGATTTCAAATAGATACTTTCCAATTTTTTTTTATTTCTGTCATTTAAAACTATTCAGACTATTTTCAATCAGTTGAATCAAATAAACAGGCATCTGACACTGTAGTTTAAGTCAGGCGAATAGTTCACTTCTGTTTAAATTCTTAATATGTTCATGTCTCAGACTGTGGTGATGGACATGACTTAATGTTTAATGTCATTACAGTTGTTGCCAACAAGAGAGTTGCGTTTAGAAAGATGACAGTTCCATTACTGCAATGGAATTCTGTCCTACAGTATGTTCTGTTCTATCATGTTTTGTTCTCCTCTGTTGTTTTTTCCATGTTTCTTTATGACCAGTGACACACTTTTGATGTATTTCCTTCCTGCTGCCATTGGAAAACACCACTTTATTTTAACTACTCACTGGTAGTGATTTATTGTGAGTAAAAAGAAAATGGGTGTCCTATTACCCAGAGTGCAGTGCAAGTGTTTTTTTTTCCCTCAGCAAATACTATATTGTATCTATGTTGCATGTACCAGTGTAGCTTTTGCATCCCTCTCCTCGCCTCTCATTTCTACATTCAGACCAGACCAAATCAGCAGAAATCAGACTTACACCAGCTTTAGACTTTCCCTTTATTGGGCCAGTTAGTTGAAACTTGACTTATGTATGACAAATAAAGTGCAACTTGATTGAATATGACCAAGAATTTATGCAGTTTTGGTTTAAATTTGATTGAATCAATCTCAAAATTGGCATTTAAAAGGCAGTTTAATACAGGTCTTGTTGCATTATGTTATTATTATAGTTCGTATGGTGGTATATTCTAAGTAAGTAAGTTATAATTATAGGTTTGTAGGATAAGACACAAAGGAAAGTATTGGATAAGAACAGCTGACATTTAGATTGAGCTGCTTTTTGTCAAAGGACGTTTTGTGTGGCTGTTTTTATGCGAGAGAGCAGAAATTGTCCTTGTGGGAAGTTCTTCAAGTCCTAACGTGATGCCAAAACACAATCAAAACAATCTGGTCTCCTTCTTACCCCAATTCACTGTGATCTCAGCCTTTTTCTAAACTCTGGATGAGGTTACAGAGCTCATCAGTTCTTTTTCAGATTTGAAATGTCACTGACCTAGCCTTGTGCGTTTCAAATCTGGATAGTCTTTAGGCCCTTTGATTGAAACTCCCTGACTGGGTGATAAATCCACTGGAAGTGTGCAGAACAATGACTGTCGTGGTACTCCCATGCCACTAGATGGTGGTACTGTACCACTCTCATGCAATAATAAATATAAATATGGAAATGTTGATGTCTGCAGAGGAAACTCAAATACCCTGAAAGCTGTTCGGTGAAAATGCAAGGGCAAGATTGTGATCTGCTTAACAGATGAATCATGAATGTGTTCAGCCAATATTTATTATTTGATGTTTTATGTTTAAGTGAAATGTACATTCCTCAAAAGTTCAACACTGTATTATTTTCCTTGCATTCTTGCTGACAAAAAAAAAGCTTTTGGGGCAGATTTTTTGCCAGAATGGTGCTTTCTTTGGGACATCCTTCATGTTCAACATAGCACCCTGATAGCCTCTGTTTGCGTGTGCTGTGCTTTGGAAGATTATCAGAAAATGATTAATGAAACACCCATTCAGACAGATTATCAGGGTAGTTGTTATGTTGAATCATTGATCGAGAATGCCCTGAAATGGACACCTTATAGAACAATAATAAGAGTGGTTTAGGTTTATGTGAAGTCAGACGTAAAAGGCATCATCACTGTGTGTGTGTGTGTGTGTGTGTGTGTGTATGTGCGTCTGTCTCGTGTTTTCCATTTCTTTTCCTTTTCATGTGTCAAACAGCTAATTTGTTACTTATATATACTGTTGTCCGACTCCTCAACAAAGAACAAAGCAAGAAATTTCAGCATGATCTGACAGCTTCACTGCCCATGTCTGCCATGCCCCCAAAACTGGTTCATTAGTGTGAACAGCTATCTCTGTATTTCCCCTTGTTGCTGAGAGCAAAACTGCCTTTTCCTGCATGCTTTTCACATGCTCATAAAGCACATGTGCATGCTACAGGATACAGCAGTCCCTGATGCCTTCTTGATGATCTGTGTTTCCCATTCTTTCTTTGGCCTGAAGTTTAAACATATTGTTTCAAGATGCAATTTTTCCAATATGAGTCAGAGTCAAAAGTGTCTCAGAGAAGGTGCCAGACAGTATTAATGTGCTGTCTGTTTGCACCTTGCCAATAAGAGAATGGGGGCCAGGGACTGTTTCTGCCCAGAGTCACTGCATTGAACATAAACTGCTCCTCTGGGAACTTTCACTCCTGCTCCCCTAGGGGTATAAGGTCTTATTTACATGACACACACATAGATGTACACATAGGCAAAAGTTGCTGCTTATTTGGTTGACTTTTGAAAACCTCCGCTGTATAATGATACTTTCTCATCCACTCTAATAATGGCACCTTGTTTCCAAATTGGCAGTATCGAACACGGAGGATTACTGACAAGAAATGTCAGAGGAATAATTGTATTAAATTAAATTGATCCACACAGAAGCAATGTGCTATGAGGGATGCTGGGACACTAACAATATAATGTTTTTTCAATGACCAAATGTATTACCCTTAATCTCTTTTTAATCTTCGTTAAATAATTAAAGACATTTTGGTAAATGATTTAGTGAGAATTTGTGAGGTCAGTCCAAAATGGATAAAGTGTAACTCCATAGTTACTCTCCATATAACTCCATGTAGTTAAAGCATATAGAGGTTAACAAACTTTCCCAGAAATGCATCAGTACTTGTCCCACTGATTTTCTTTTTTAATGGTAAACAGGCATCAGATGATCCAGTGAAGTACATCCGCCCAAGCATTGTGTCATATTAAACCCCATAAAGCAGTATCACAGTTCTAAATGGTTACTATTTCATTTAAATAAGAGCTTTCGACTCTTGAACATACATTTATACTTGCCTATAAATTAGGAATAAGTCATCTTTTTCCAAGTCACATGCACATTAGTGTGAACGCCCCTCGGGGAGTGGAGCAGTGAAACGGCAGGTTTGAACATAGCATGAATTGGCCAGTCTAGCCAGTAGAATAGTGTGATGCCATGGACACAGCCTACAGCTGCATGATGGGATACAGGTACGTGATCCACTCCCTTGGCCAAATGGATTGACGATGTACAAATGTTTGGAACATTTTATTAGGTTTGCTGCTGAAGACATTGCTCATGCATATTTTCCCTGCATGCCCCCTTCCCTCTCCCCTTCTCCTCTCCCCTCTTTCCCACAGTTATAGTTTTGTCTTTAGAACTTGTTTAAGCCTTAGCACACAGCTTGGCCTCTTTTGACAATGCCATTATCAATAAGTAACAATCCAAAACCATATAAATATGAGATTTTAGCTAAATGATTACAGCTATGATGCTAATGATGTATCCACTTTTGTATGACTTTTCCATGAAAGGAAATGATGAAATGAGACGTTTCTGTGATAAATTGCTGCGAAAAATGTCATTTAATATTCCAACAAATCCTCATGTTACGAGTGTGCTAATGTAATTTGGGGCTCAAGACTGTGGGGCAGGTGGCTAAGGCTTGCACTTTCTGATGAAGTTGCCTTCCGACTTCCCCTATTATGAATATTTCTCCTTTTGCCATTAACCTGCTGCTTTTCCTCTCCTCTCATCCCAAAACATGACTGTAGCCAAGATGTCCGTCTACAAACGAATGAAACTGGCATGTTGTTTTGATTGCGACCGTTCAGAGCAAGACTGCTCATGCATGTCAGGCAGTGTACATAGTAACATGGACACCCTTCAGAGGGCCTACCCACTTTCCTCTGTCTCTGTTCATGATTGCGCAACCACTTTACGTGCCTGTAAGTTACAACACCCAACACATGCTGTTACATGTCTGTGGTGTGTGCTCCGTGTAGTGTCCCATGCCGAGGTACCGTACATGTTCATGTGTGTGTGTGTGTGGTGTGGTCTGTTTCTCCTCACTCCATAGTTTGTGTAACTGTTGCCTACATGGGTTCATTGTTATAATGAACATGTTTAATGATGTTATTATTGATTTAAAAAAAATATATGATATACATTTGAAATTGATCATAAAAAGTGATTGTTAAATGGGTGTACTGTGGTGGGTAAGTGGTGGTGTGGCTCTGTGGTGCTGCTGTACAGTACTGTGAGTGGCTGACGCATGCTGCATCAATCATGCAGTTGTGTGAAATTGTCACTTTTAAGCGTGGTGTTTTGTGTTTTTTAAGATTTTTTATAAGTGTTTAAGGTAAGATGTCTACATATTCAAAATACAACAGTTCTTTCTCAAAGATTCGATAGTGTAATTAAGTGATATTATCTGTTCCTTTGTGTCTGGTATTTTTGATTTCAAGACTCTTGTTAATTTTTCAGTTTATAATATTTTGAGTTTAAGCAGTTTTTTCTTTAGTTTGCTATTTTAATTTCCTTTTTGTTTTATCCGACAAGGCAACCATGAAAAAAAATCTTTTAAATTTAGAATTCATATTAGTCCCCCACAGTTGTAAACAGTCATATTTTATTTGCAATACTTTCTTAGTAATTTGAAATTTCATGATGGATATCTGGAACATTGTGGGGGCTTCTTCATAAATTTTTTTTTTCCATTAGCCTTCTTCTTCTTATGGTTCTGCAGCATTACAAATTGTGAATTCTGCTACAAAGAAAGCTTTCCCTATACTTCTTTAAGGCCAGGTTGGCAGTTGTTGTGTTTCTGGGAGTGTAGACCCAGCTGAAATGGATGGGTTCTGACAGAAGTTGCGCATTAGAGGATGCTGAAATTATAAAACATCAGCAAATTAAATCAGGAATGGGCAAACAAACCTTTAAGGAGCCCACAAAGTTGTGGCGCATTTCACTCTTAGAGGTACTTTTTGGAGATGAATATAAGCATGGTTATTTTTACCAGAGCATATACAATCATAAAACTAGAACATTTCCTGCTTAAGCTGAAATGGGTTGGACCTGTATTATGAATAGTTTGTCTGCAGTAATAAGAATGAGACATATTGAAGTAGGAAAAAGTTGGTAACATTTGGAAGGTGAAAATATTAATTGATGTGGAAGATTAAATACCTGGTATTCAGGGATTAAAAAATGAGAAAAAGAACTAAATGAGCACTCTAAAGTGATGGCTTGTTTCTGTAAAGGTGGGAGGACAGAGGCTCCTGGAAGATTCCATCCTTTCTTTTTTCTTTTTAAGTGGATGGGAAATACTAAATTGTCCGTCAATTAGATATGGCAGCAGTAGACCTGGGTATCAAAGCCTTGGGTTCAGACATCCAGATCTGATTTCCTTTGCACCATTCTCCCACCGTCTGCAGACTCAGCCTAGATTAGTGTCAAACACGTCATGATGAGTTTGGCTTGGCTTCATGTAGTTGGGCCTGCGCTGATATCCCTCGGTACCAATTACTGACCATTACATGGTTACTGATCTCACTTTTCCCTGAGCCCCCTGTAGGATTTAAGGAAAGCCTCCCATGTCTTAGATTTCGCTCCCTTTATAACTGTTTGAATGAACAAAGAGAGTACAGCGATGGCGTGTATTGGGGTTTGTCAGGATTGGATTGTTTGATTTCCTCTCCCCATATCCATTTCTTTTCCACCAAACCAAGAGGATAAGACATCTTAATCCATGATGACTTCATCTTCTTGTGCATCACAGCCAGATTTTTCTACACTGTAATAATTGCTATCTTGGTTAACATTCAGTGTTTGCTAAGAATCAATTTCCACTTTTACTACACATATAGACACCTCTGTGCAGACCTTTTAACACATGCTTACCGGAATAATTACTGTGAAATTTGATTGGGGGGATAGAATGCCGTAACAGAAAGCCAGGTGATTTAGCTCACTGTATTAAATATTTATTGATTGTGAAGATAAACTAAAGCACTGGAAGCAGTAAAAGTTGAAAAAGTTAAAAGGAGTAACATTTGGAAATGAAAAGCAGTAAAAAAAAAATAGTGGAGCTATTGACGAGGGTTGGGAGCCCAGGGCTAAGAAGATGCTTTTGGCTTGTCCTCAACCCCTTCGGGTTGTTTATGCATGTATGTGCACATTTCATGTGCATAAAAACGTGCTCTTTTATCCGTAGCGTCTATGGTGTTGTGTGTGAGTCTGCATATCATCGCGAAAGACCTTATCTAACTTGACACAGAAATTATGTTTGCATTTTCATTTTCCCAGCCTTGCTGGTCTGTCACCAAACTTGCCCCGACAGCTCCTGTCCACCAGGCAGACTTGAGCCCTCCCTCCAAACCTTCTGTCCTATGCCGCGTAGCCGTGCCCCAGATGGTAGCCAGTTAGTCCGCTGCCTCTGCGACAGGGGCAGATCGCAAGAGACAGATGCCAGGCCCACTGTGGGTCTTTGTTTTGAGGATATGTGTCATAGGCCAGTTCTGGGCCCTCACTGTGACCTTTATTGCTGGAAGAGATTTCGGGAAATGGGTCTAGGGTGTGAGCTCAGTTCAAGAGTACACTGCAGCATCAGTAGTAGTGTCTGTATGTCTGTATGTATGTGTGTGTGTGTGTGCGTGTGTGTGTGTGTGTGTGTGTGTGTGTGTGCGTGTGTATATATGTACACTTAATAATTCAGCTTTTATGGCATTAAATACGTGCAAGTTTCTTTATAGATTTCAATATTAAAGGTAAAAACACATAGTTGAATTCCCAAAAAATATTTAGATCTAGCAATTTATAAAATCTGCCATTAGACGTTCTTGTTATCTCCTCTTCTGGTTCAATACACTTTCCTAAAAGCATGACTCAGACTGAGGAGGGACTGTTGACTCATCTGTCTTTTTTTCCCCATCGTAGTGCACTTAAGTCACAACCGTTTAATTTTTGCCATTTTGTCATTATTTCTGTTCTTTTAGTTTTGGTTTGTGTTTCACTGTCTTTAAATGATAACACATAGATTTACATTTGCTTTAATCCCCATTCCAGCATTTTTATGTTGATGTCTCTATTTTCTGATGTCTGTTTCATTACATCATCTGTTCCTCTGTGTGACCTTCCACATGTCTTTGCATTCTCCTCAGCCAAATATAAGTATAATGGATATGTCAGATCACGTAAGTGTGTTTCTCTGTCTTTTTCCACTCTTCTCAAGCTGTGTGTTTAGACTGTAGCCCCCTCACTTTGTCTTGTAACATTCCTATTACTTATACCTAGACTTAGTATTTGCTCTGTTGTCCCTAATCCCTTAAGAATATTATACTATTGTAAACACGGTTTAAAAAGTATTAAACTCAGTGCTTCTTTCAAGAATTGTCACAGAGTAATTGCAACGTATATTGAGAGAAAATATAGTTTCTAGTATTAAAACATACCTTAAAGGGGTGACTTTGTGTTTGCTGATTCCATGCAGTCCATTAAATATTCTTTTTGTATTGTGCTGCATGTAGCAGCAGATGGCGCTACAACACCAGGGAACAGTGGAAGCCAAAAAGAGACTGGCGTTCGATTCAAAGCTGATTACAATATAGGTAAATCTTTGGTAAATAATTGTTAAAGTAATAACTTTTCATTGCAGTGGTAAAAATAACTTTTAGTTTATAAGTGCTATTTTTCGTGCCTAAGATTCTTTTGTATATTTTTATTTGTTCATATCAAATACATTGATGCTTTTTTGGTTTCTTCTGACTATTAAGCAAAAAAAAAAAAAATGGAATCGTATATTATCATGTAGTTTTGTTTTACAGTTTGTTTTTAAGATTTATTTTTATTTTGGGATAACACAGTAGTGCATAGCCTGGAAAGCCATTCCATGCAATTGCAATGCAGTTGAAGAACAAAGCTTGTTCATGCAGCAAACACTAAAGGTAAAGCCAGCATAGCTCACATGCAAAAGTAAACACTTTTAGTTGTTTCTCCTCCACCTCATCATCCAGATTACAATGGATTACAGCGATCTCATAAGGACTGCATGCAGTACAGTACCATCATGTGATTAGAATTTCAAGAAGGGACAGTTGCCGTCTGGGTTGTTCAGGATGCACAGTGGACCTGCCAGGGCGGGTGAAGGCTCTGTAACGCTGCATGTGTTTGACAAGGGCCAGATGAATCCAGGAGCTATCGGTGGCGCCCTGTAAATCAAGGAGGCAGCTGACGGCCTGGATAAACGTCTGTTTATCGCCCGGGGCCACCCAAGCATGCTCTCTCCTCAAAACAACCAACCAGCCACCCCTCTACCAAAGAGAGAAAAAGGGCTCCTCCTCTCACAGTCAACTTTGCTACCAGATCTTTTACTTGTATTTCTCTGTTGTCCTCCTGCAGTGTTCCATGACCCCTTGCATACAAACATATGGGTTGACGTTTGAGCCACGGTCTTACTCTTTGTGTGTGTTCTGTGGGGCTGCTGTTTAAACACCACTTGTGCGTATGCAGAATGTTTATGCACATATCCAAAACTGCAGTTTGTATATCGACATACTATGACAATATTTTTAAGTTTTTTTTTTTTTTAAACACAATTTTAGAAGAAAATTATACAGGCATTTGGTTGGAATCGAACCACAATTCTACACATTATTAGAAAATAAATCTAAATCTTCTAAATCTTTATGGGATATATATATGTATATATATGTATATATATATATATATATATATATGTATTTGAGATGAAGCCTTTTAACTAATTCATCTAATTCACCTATGTAAAGTGAACGTCACTGTGAATGTTACAGTAGTTTTAGAAAAAATCTACAATTTCTAAATATCAATGTTCTTACCATTTTTTACTTTTAATTAATCTGTAATAGTCAAATGTAAAAATCTATTAATTCTCAACAAATGTTACAGAAATCAATGTAGTCAGTATTCAACAGTTTCATGTAGGTGTTTATGAATCTTAACACAGAGTTTCTCACACCTTTTATTCTCCACTGTTTGACAGTAATGGATGACGTTAGACCATCTATTCAAAAGCGATCTGTTAAAGCCACTGGCTGCATCTCCACCTCCATCACCTCAAATGCATTCCTTCCCAGCACCCAGCACCCCAACCAGGAGCCCCGTTTCGGCCGGGGCACAGCCAACATCCCCCTTGTTAATAACCGTAAAGGAAGCCTGCTCCCCATGAGGCCGGGGCCCGGGCTTGACCCCTCACAATTGCGCCTCAGTATCTCAGGTCCCAGAGACGCGGTTGCCAGAGCCCTGGCCGAGAGTCGACTGAACCGGGCCCACAGTCTGCCGGTGAAATACCGCTACCAGCCCAGTAATGCCATGATGCTCAGTCACAGTAGGCACTGTAGGTTGCCCCCTTAGCGGGATGCATCAGTCAGTACCCCGCCTGTCCTCTCCCTTCAATTTTTTTTTGGTTTTGTTTGCTGCATGAGTGTTCGCTCGGCTGGAGCGGCTGCTTTTGTTGCTCCTGCTGCTTTATTCAGATTTGCCTTCAAGTATAGTGCATGTCATTCTTTAAACGGGGTGATTTTCAAATTTAGGAATAATCACAAACAAGGAATTTTTGAACAAATTCATTTATTATTATTTACCGTCGTAAATGTTGCAGGAATGGTTTTGGCTGATGTTATTGATCTTTTTTCAGTATTTGGAAAGCATTGCATTTTAATCTTGGATTTATAAATACATTTTGTCATGCTTTCACCTTTGACAAATTAAGTCACAAGGAGTCTTGTTTGTTAAGTGGAAAGTGCCTGTTCGGTTAGGTATTTTGAATGCCCAAATGCATCAAAGAAATGCCAGATAATTTTTATTTTTTCAGAAGCCGAAGTCATATTTCTTATCTTTTATCTGCATAATTAGGTGACAGCCAAGAAGGGCATTCAGAAAATAATGAAATTCTACATGCTTGGAACAGTCATAACTTACAGTGTGTGCATTGGCTTGTTATCATGCTGTGTTATTGATTTCTAACCAAAGGAATAATGTGATTATGAAGTGACGGTGCGCTTGGCATTTGCACTGGGAGAACGCACATTTGAGATGACTATCGGGTGCCTGTTCTTGAAACTGGCAGACGGCAGTGGTGAAGATCAGACTGTTGTTAATGCGACTGAAGTCTTCAGACCTGTCCTCACCCTGGCTTCTCTCTCTCATTTTCTCTGTCTGACTCGGTGGAGGCAAGGTTTAGAAGATGCAGTTTTTATTTATTCATTTTCAAAATATTTCTTAGCACAAGAAAGTGCAGCTTCTTGTTGCCGAGAACATTTGAGGTTTACATTTGTCCAGCAAATGCAAAACACCCAAGCTTCAAACACAGAAACTGAACTGTATGAAATTGTTCATTATTTTCACTAAAGCATGTATCACCAGCCATGACCTTCTTATTTCAGAAGATAATGTACATCCACTAGCTGCTTAGAAATTTATGGGCCACTAATTCTGTTCGTATCACTTGACTTGATGTGTGCTGACTGCTTAAATGTACCCTTGGCATGGAGGTAGACCTGTAGAAGAGCCATTGTGCACTTTTATTAGAGCTGCAAAATTGGGGTGGTATGCAATTTGCTATATTAAAAACAAAACCAGTACGAAAAAAAAAGATTGAAAATAAAGCCCCACTCACAATTCATCTCCATGACATTTATTTATTTATCTCTCTCATTGTCATTGCAAATTTTCATTGCTTTTGCCCATCCCCCCACCAACAATAATGGTTGTTTCATGTCTTGGCATTTAATGGCGTGGGTAAGCATTGTCACTCTGATGCAGACTGCTAGAGGTCCACCTGGACATGAGCAGTAGTTTAATACTTAGAGGCCTTTGGGAGATAAAAACATAAAGGGTAGTTTAGGGTGTGAGCTTTTCATGACATTTTTCAGGGCATAAATTGGTTTTTCTTTGTGGTTTTCTCCTGCCTTTTTCAGATTCACTATTGTTCAGTACTAATGTTTCCTTTATGTATATATATATTTTTTTGTTTTTTCACTTTGAAACTAAACTATTAATTTTGATTTTCTTGTGTTGAGTTTCTTTTATTTGTTTGCAATGTTCTATTGATTTTTGGTTACTTCTTATGTCAGGTCCAGCACACTCTCTCAACTATCTCAACTATCTGTCTCTGTTCTGACATTTCACGCGTGTGTTTACAGTTGAAGACGAACATCCATCAACTCTCTCGCCTAAGAAAAAGCAACGCAATGGAGGGATGCGAAACTCACCGAACTGCTCACCCAAAATGATGAGGTAAGAGAAGCTGATTTTATTCTCCTTGCAGCCTTCAAACAGAAAGAGAAAAGGAAAGGAGGAAAGGAGGGAGGGGAAAAGGGAAGGAGAGTGGTGTCAAAGTTGTTGGCTGCTGATGTTGTGATGGTGGCAGTTCGGATGGATGGGAGGGGGCAAATTAAGGGCGGCAGAAGAGGGAGGTAAGACACTCTGTGAGAGGAAGAAAGGGAGAAATGCCCTGTTAAGCTCTGGCTGTTTAGGATGGCTGTCAGCTGTTAATGAAAGAGCTGAAATAATATTTCTGTCATGAAAAGCGGCTATGAGGAGCCATTTGAAAACTCATCTGGCTTTAAAGTCCCGGCTGACACCTCCTCCAGTCTGGTCCACATGTAGTGCTTAAACAATGCTGGCACTAATGACACCAGCAACCAATCAGAGGGAACGGCGTGGTTACTTTGCCCGCAGGCTACTCCTCTATTGTGGGAACCCCTGTGAGTACTGTTTCTGGTACTTAAGGCCATATGCGAGATGTATCATCACAATCAAATATGAATTCAAATATTACCTTCCTTTTATCCTGTCTTGTGGAATTAAATTGCTTTTAATTGATTTTGAAAGATAAAAGGGGCAGGTTTGTGTGTTCCTCTGGCTGAGAGGCAGGGCTAGACACAGCAGCGGGGAAGATGCACGGAGGCCGAGCTGCACGGATCGGGACAATTAAGACACAACTACAACAGAACGGAAATACAAACTTACTTTACTGCGCTCTATTGAAGGGAGTGTTATGGATGTCATATCTGTGCTATTAGAACGCAAACATATAGAAAGTGATTGTTCTATTTTTTTCTCTTCCTTTGGTAATAGTAATCGTCCCTGGGTTTTCGTTATTATTATTTTTGCATTAAAGCTGTATTTCTCGAAGAACTATTTTATCTGAACTGTTTGGGCAAATGTGAAGTGATATCCCTCAGGGCAGAGAGAAAATAATTTATTTTTCTGTCTCTTATCTAATTTGGTGCACATAGTTTATAGAATATTATTGTTATTTTGTCTGTTGTCTTTATTGTTTGCCCGAGTTGTTAGTATGTAAGTTCTGCTGGGTTCCCTCAGGCACTGATCCTCCCTCTGCTCTGGTGTGCCTGTGTGATTTTGTCCAGTGTATTTGTCGGCCTCCCCCTCAGTTCTCCACAAAGCAAGCACTTAATAAGCCTTTACACTTGCCAAACCATTAGCTCAACACAGAGTCATACCCCTCAGTCTAGTTTGCAACAGAGCATCATTTTAGATGCCCTTGCTCAGAGGGAGAAAGCTGCTGCAAAAACAACTAAACACTGGCACGTTTCCAGCTAACTGCTTGTTTAAAAGGCTGTTTAGTTTGCCAAACTTAAAGCACAAAACCTTTTCTTCTCATCCTTCTCTGCTTAAGAGATGGTCCCCGTTCGCCATGTAATATATGCATCTTTACTTTGATCTCACAGTGATAATAATCCTTGCGAGTTATTTACCCAGTTTTGAAAACGCTTCAAAGCAGTGTCAAAGTTTTCTCTGCTTTAGGGGTGCTTCTGTATTCTGCTGGCTCTTGGGTACTGGGATGACAGGTCCTCTGTTATAGGTGTAGATTTTTTAGCCCTCAGCAGAACATAACATTACTCGTCACATGCACACCCCACACCCCAAGCCCCCTTCACAGCTGCCTTGTCAACCTATAACGTCATATATTTTAAACAGTTGTGCTTTATGAGATAGATTTTATGCACGAGGAAAAGTGATTGTTTGAGGTAGCCTTAGGGAAACGTTATTCTACGAGCAAGAGAAGGGGAAAACACAGTAGAGAGCTCGCAAGAGAATCAACATACGTATCGAGTATGGTTTTTACAGGACTCACAGCCTGAAGGCCTTTGTAAATAAATAATGATCAACAGATTGGCTGTGGGCTTTTGAAAAGTATGCCTTTGTCAGTTTGCATGATAGGGAAAATTTTCAAAGCAAGAGCCTGCCTTCGTACTTCGGCAGAGAGGGATTGGGGGAGCAAACCCATCCCCAGCTTGTGACTGCAGACTGATACAGTGGAATAACTTAACTTTATTTGAAATATAGTGAGGGGGAGAGTTATAAAGAATAAGAAAGGATGAGGTGTTTGTCCTCTCCATGTATGTCCCTGATATATTTTTTTAGCTCATATGTGAACAATGTAATTATGTTACCATATTATTCGGTCTGTAATGTGAGTAGCTTGGAAGATTTCCCTGTCTTCTCTTTGGGAAAATTCTTTGTTTAAGGTTCAAATTCAGTAATGATTTCTGCATTTTTTTTAGACACACGTTATTAAGTTATTAATGATTTAATCCAGAGCATCAGTATTCTAATGAGCAACATGGCGACATGACATTCACGCCACTTCTCAACCATTAGTGACGGGTCATGACTGACAGTGCACATCCCCGATCAGAGGAAGACATCGTATCTCCGGCGGTAGAGATCCCTTGGGCGTGGCCCTGTTGCACAGACGTCATGTCTGCTCTCCCCGAGCCTTGTGGTAGGTTCAACCCGAGGCAGGGATGAGGAAGAGGGAGGAGGAGGTGTGTGGAGCCCGTGACAGGCTGCCAGTCACGCCGCTGACAGCTCTGTGAAAGATAGCTGTCTTGGCAGAGAGAGGTGGAGCGGCAGCCCGCCTGCATGCGCCAGTCAGCCCGTGTGTGGAGGCGAGCGGAGCTGAGCAGATTGAAGTGACGGGGGGGGGGGGGGGGGCTCAGTGGAGTTGATTGGCGCAACACGCGGCTCTGGATGAAAGATTCAGGCTGAGTGTAAAAACACTAAATGCTGTCAGTGTTATTATCACCTGCTCTAACTGATAGAGGGTAGAAGGGGAGAGAAAGGTGGAGACAGAGGGTGGCTAATTGACAGCTTTTTTTTTTTTTTTTTACTGCTACTTTTCCTGCGATGGCATGCAACCCAAATGCAGGTTGAAGGAAGAGACAACATCAAAGCCTTGTCAGTGAATGGCAGTGTTGATAGAGGATATGGAGAGTGATAGTGAGAGAGATGTATGTCAAATTCTTGAGATGTTTTCTCCCATTTTATTCACGTCTGTCTCTGCAGTTTCCTGTTTCAAAAGTCTGCACAAAAGTGCTGTTTTAACCAACGAATTCATTAGTTTAGCTCAATGATAAATTCATAATGTTTGTATGTTGATTTGGTTCAGACGAAGTGTGAGAGCATGTCTTGTTGGATAAGTAAAAGAACAAGAAAAGCGGTTTCTCGGAACTGACAGCAGCTCTTTTATGGTCAGTGTTACAATGGATAAAACTCAGCAGCCCACTGCTGTGGATTAGCCTGTTTGGTTGTGACATGCTGTTGAAACATTAATGGCCATCAGGAGGGAGAGTAAAATGTGATTAGGCAAATTCCTGAAATATTTAAAGTTTGAGCCTGTTAGAGCTTTTACTATTTGCTCCACATGGCGTCAGGAACTGAAAGAGAGGGTAAAAGCTGGTAATTGGTCTTGTGTTGTCATGCTATTCAGTCAGTATCAGTCAAGACTCACCGTTCTCCTCTGTACCCCTGTGAGGAAGTGGGCCTCTGCATTTTCTGATTTTCTGAACAAAAGGAAATGGGGAAATGATATTATAGTTATGGGACTTAGACTATTTAGAGCCATTGAAAGTCTAACATTTTGAGGTGTTGGTGATATATCCATATGGTGTATTTTCTAAATGATTATGTACAGTGAAGTAATTTACAAGCTGTGGTTAGAAAATTTGAGTACATTTTGTTTTTCAGTAGACACGATCCACTTCTGATTCCTGGAAATGAACAAATGGAAAACATGGACATGAACGTGAAGAGGTATGACTCGACAGGGATGTTTCACTGGTGCCCTTCTAAAGACATCGAAAAAGTAATCCTGGTAAGTTGGTTGGAGCTCTCTACCTACAGTCATGTTAAAAAAAATAAAAGAGAGAGAATACAATAAGGCTAAAGTTGAGTGAGTATACTCGGGAGTCAACGTTTCCCATCAATACTGCAGTAAGAGAATCTCATACTAATGCGTATTGAAATTTTTTCCACTGCTTCTCTGTTGTTTCAAGGTGAGTTTGTTTTTTATTTATTTATATATCTCCACCAAGAATCTGTGAACTGCAGTCAATGCATGGCTTTGCTCAGATTGCAAGGCAGTTTGTGGGAATTTAGCCTGGTGGGTAATTTGTTTGAGCAAGGCTTACCCTTTTCTGATCAAATGTTGAAGGTGCACTGTTACTTCATTAACATTTGTGTTGCTTTTGTACAGCCAATGCTCAAGTGATCCTATCAATCCTGAAAGGTTTCTTTTTACCTTTACTCAAGGTATTCAAACATGACCTAAGCTACCTGTGTCTCAGAATTTTTTTCCCAGACAAATATAACTGGTTATTGATGGAAACTTTTAATGCATTAAAAGACACAGAGTGGGAGAGAGTTTGCAGCAGGAGATACTTGGTGGCCTGAATCTCTGGGCTGCAATTACCAAACATATGTTATTATTCCTTGTAACTATAAAGGTTTGCAAAAGTAGGTTAATGTATTATTTAATATACACAAGAATTGTGTATAAAAAATCTTACAAACATGACATATGACATACTTTTTTCCATAGTACAACACTCTAATTATGGATCATCCAAATTCTTATTTAACAAACAAAAAAGGATTTGGACTTATAAATGTGTTAAGTTTTAAATAGTTACTTATTTTTTTCTGCTGTCTCTTTTTTATGTAAAATGTTTCTTTTTTCTCTTCTTGCCTCTCTGTATCCATTCTTTTCTAATTCTTATGTCTACTTCTGTCCCCCTTTCCTGTGCTTCTGTCTTCCCTGCAGACCCGGAGTGAAGCGTCCATGACAGTCCTGAGCGGCCATGTAGTAGTCTGTATATTTGGGGATGTCACGTCCGCTTTAGTGGGGCTGCGAAACTTGGTTATGCCTTTAAGAGCCAGCAACTTCCATTACCACGAGCTAAAGCCGATAGTTTTTGTGGGCTCTCTGGAATACCTGCGGCGAGAGTGGGAAACCTTACACAACTTCCCCAAGGTTTCCATCTTACCTGTGAGTGTTCCAAGTCAGTCATATGATACAAAATGAAGCCGGGATTGGCCGATAAAGCATTGACATTTCGAATTGCACGCGCATTGAAATCCAGAGAGGCATTGTCATTTTGATTTGATCACACATTACTCAATTGAACCATCAATCCAAGAGAACTCAGTCAGCCCCCCTTTTCCAAGGCAGTGACACATTGTGCATATATTCTAAGAGGAGTTTAGAGTGGTGCAGCTGCAGTGCCCGTCGCAGATGGTGTGGCTTGCTGCCTTAGAGCTTGTTAGGCCTGGCTTGACTGATGATCAGAAGGGAATCTCAAACACAGCCCTCAGCACAGGCTAGCCTTTAGATTAGTCCAAGTCTCTGAATATCTAATGCCTGGTTAGATCCGTGGAATGTCATTGCCTCAAAACAAGAATACTTGTTAACTAATTTCCCAAAGCTCCACTGCACTCACTTCTTAAATTTGTTTTTCTCTCTCCCTCTGTCTGTCTGTTCTGTGTTTTGCTTTTCTCTCGCTGTCTCGCTCCTTCTCTGTGTTCTCCTCACCCTGAAGGGTACACCATTAAGTCGGGCAGATTTAAGGGCTGTCAACATCAACCTCTGCGACATGTGCGTAATACTGTCAGCCAATCAGAACAATATCGAAGACGCCTCACTGCAGGATAAAGAATGCATCTTGGCATCACTCAACATCAAGTCTATGCAGTTTGATGACAGCATTGGGGTCTTACAGGCTAATTCCCAAGGTAAGAAGTGTCCTATTAGACTCCGTGTACACTGCTGCCCCAAGGGGACAGGTTTGGGCAGGAGGGGAAGATGGTAGTCAAGAATGGAAAACGAAGAGGGGAAAAGACAGGGAGCCACACATGAGGTATAGAAGTAGTCTGTCAAGCACGGAGTGTGCTAAGTGCTCTAAATCAAAAGTCTCTGCAAGCCTGCAGAATATCATCTATACTCTAACGTCACTGCAGCGCCTACAGATGTGCGTGGAGAAAACAGTGTATTGATGACTTCCTCGAGCCTTTGAAGTGTGTTTACTCCACTTAATATTCTGATGATTTCAGTGTTGTGCCTCATAATTAGATGCCGCTAAACCTCTTTGATAATGCTTTTTAATGATGTAATCAACATGACTGCGTCATTTGATGTCGTTCCCCCTGATCTGGAGCCTGGCAGATCGTCTGGAACAGATTGTTGATGTTTGCAGACAAACATACGAACCTGGCATCCCATCAGGCCTCATCATCATTAAGCAGCTAGTATAAATCACCAGGCAGGCCAGTTCAGCTGCTCCTCATTAGTCACAACAAAACAGCGACACACGCTTATGCACACATGCATGTTTGTGTGCCTTTGTGTGCGTTTGTGCGCAATACACCTGCAGATGTTCATGCCGTGGCAGTCTTTTCACGAACAGGTGATCCTCAGTTTGTTTTTATCTTGAGAGGCATGTCTTGAGCTCAGAATTGTTTAGAGCCGCCACATTGAATGTTGTAAATTCAAAGATGGAGGGTCTGGAGGCTGTAGATCATTATTTTTCTAGCTCGGAGCACTTCCACGTGCTTTACTAGAACACTGTTATCTCCCCGACCATGAATGAGTGAAATATTGTTGATTGCGGTGTCACCAGGGGACAATGCAGGATAATGCTCAGAGCTGCTGTGGTCTCTGAAGTCACCAATAAAAGTTTAAAAAAAAACTACTAGTCTCTATCTTCCCCCTGAATCAATGGATGGAGTTGACTGCCATCAATAATTGGGTCGTACATGTACCACCCATTTAAGAACACACACATTCACACGGGCGTGTAGTCATGCAAGCACAGGGAAATGCACACACATGCCTAGATGTTGCTATTGTTTAGGGATTCCCCTCTCTTGACATTGCTCCCCTTCAGACGCTATCCGTGGAATTTTGGAAGGTGCAAATGAATAAGTAAACATGTCCTTTTCGTGGTGGAGAACCTCTCACGGCTGCTGTAGCATGTAGTCAACCACAGAGTATTGCTGTGCCCGCGGGGCTACAGGGATAAGGGGTAGATAACCCAGATCTTGTCTTTTGTAAATTGTAGCGAAGCCCACTAAGTTTCAGCCTCTCAGTCGAAACTGAAAGCTTTTGAAATGTATTCTTTTTTACTTTCTGAAAGCTTTGTGAAATTTTTTAACATGTAGCTACACGTCAAGCAGCAGGAATCAAAGAAAAGGCAAAAAACAAAAAGGAAATCATTTATAAAATGTAATTATAATAGTCATATCACAGATAAACCATTGTGACTTACATCAATATTTTCATATGTTAATATTTCCTGTTGAATTATTGAGTGAAACCAGATTAAGGGGATGCTACGTATAAAAATATTTCAGGTCTCAGTGACGATGTGCAGCTCTGAGTGTGGAGATCATGCTGAAATGCAGTTTTTAAGCTCTAAACCAACATGTTTTAAGAGCGATGTAGCAGCAGGCCTCATTTATCCCTGTTCTCACTAACATCAGCTTCTGGTGTCGGCATGCACACAACGAATGGCTGTTCAGCCTCCTTGCACCGACTTTGTGTTTGCTGTGATACAGTAGGAGCAGCAAATCTAATTCCTTACTGTCACTCCCCAGCAGAATAAGCAACTCTCTGTTTAGACATCACCACAATTAGGTTTGCAGTACCTGAGCAGGTGCCCCCTGGGTGACTGCCATAGTCAAACCCGTGCTAGTTCAATGACTTGTGCAATAAAGATTATGATCGCCCATTTCTCAGTTCGAGGTGCGCTTCCTGCTGTGTACAAAACAATAACGTGTTTTTTCTGTTGCAAAGGGCTGAAAGATCTCTTTTGTAATGTAAGCAACTCATTGACTTTCTTTTGACAGGAAAGATACACACTCTCACAAACACAGAATTTGCAATCCTTTTAAAACTTTGTGACCTGAATATATACCCTGCATTATGTTTCCTTGGTCGTGGCAATATAAGCTGACATTTTGCTGAAGTCAGCACTAAATGATGGATGTCAAAACACAGTTTATGCATTATGCATATAGCATTACAGATTTAAGGTGTTTACTTGTCACTTTGAGGAAATGCAAAAATGTGAAGTCATGTGAATTCATACTCCTGTCACTTGCACTTGTATTTCATGGTTCTGTGCCACACCATAAAAGGTTTCCAGGATACACTTCACCAATTTTGTCGTAACAAAATGAACAACATATAAAATTTATGTCTGCCCCTTGATGGAGGGACATGAATGCTAAATATGTCTTAGCTGACCCCTAAAAGCAGAGTGGCTGTATAACAGTTTTTAGGGAGGCACCTTTCACTTAGCCATCTACTCCGCTTTATGTTTTTCTCCCTGTCAATCCACATATTTGAATGGAATTGAAAGAGCACATCAAAAACTTCATGCTGACTGAGCTGATGTGAACACTATGTATAATAGTCATAGTCTAGAGTTCCAGGCCTTGTTCTCAAGCTTATGCTTTTGTAATGAAACAAGCTTAGAGTATGCATTTCTATCTCCATCATCGCTGTATTTCCTGAAAAGAAGAGAAACACTCTTGCTAGATAGAAAAATACATTTAAAATAATAAAAAAAAATGTCTTCAGTTACAACACAAATATGTAGTTTGTAGAACTCAAAACTCATGTCAAAAGTAAATATTCTGTGAATATAAAAACAGTGTTACATATGTTATGTAGTTTATTTCACAGTTCTACTTAAAACATTTTTAAACCAAAGTATTCTGAGATCTATACCTATGCTTTGTGTTTTGTTTAGGTTTCACGCCCCCTGGAATGGACAGGTCATCTCCAGACAGCAGCCCAGTACATGGCTTTGTTCGCCAGGCTTCTGTCACCACCGGATCCAACATCCCAATCATCACCGAACTAGGTAAAATGGTTTTGACCCCCCCTCCAATCCAAGCTGAGCATGCTACACCCATTAAACTCAGATCAAGTCATAATTCATCGGCGGATGTGGACTCACATAGCTGATAACCCAAGGCCTCATTCTGCTACCAAAAGTTCCAACTCATTCAATGTCAGACGGACTAAAGAATGCGTGGTGTGGAATTCTTTTTCACTTTCATTGAGATGGTATCTCTGCCCAAATCAAGTTCATATCTGCATTATCGGTTTTGCTTCAGTAGTAGTTGCTGTCACAGGATGACTTGAAGATGTCAGACAGGCACTTTCAGGACAAAAGCTGCATCTCCTGCAATTTGTGCACTAATGGACGAGGGAAACTCAGCCGGACGGAGAGAGTGAGAGAGGGAGAAAAGGTACATGGAAAAAAAGTGCCTTGGTTGCAAAATAGGTCCATTTATTAATAACAATGCCACTAGTTGTATTCCCAGTGGTGATGGGGACTCATGAAACTTTTAGATCTCTGAGGGGCTTTCTGAAACACCAGAGACCAGCTTCTCTGTCTCCCCTGACCCAATTAGGGAGCAATGGAGCATGAGTCCAACTAAGAAAAGGCCAAGAAAAGAAAGGAGCTACCTCATCTTACTTGTACCAGAGCGAGCCATTACCTGAGTGGAGCCTCTCCCATTTCACTTCTGGCCACATATATAGTCGTCAAAAAAAGAGATAGGCCGTGTTGGAGTCATCGTTCTGGACTCAAATGCTAGCACCTCTTTTGTTTCGCCAGTGCATGGTTTCTGCTCGTAGATTTCACAGCAGTAGGAACATGAGATGTGATAACATTGTCCCTTAGGAATGGAAGACGCGGGAGTACACAGAGGACAGAGTGGCTGCCTGTCACACTGTAACCATACACTGTAATTACATTGTCGTTTGTTCGGGTTACAGTGCCAGGAGCAGATTAAAGCCAAGTTGAAACAAAAAAAAACAAGTCATGCCTCATCTAAGTTGCATGATCGATTATATTTGCATGGTTTGTGAAGTGGGTGCCTTTATGGATAAGAGGTTGTTTATCCCTTGCACTGTGTTACCAAGATATACATTTTTTTTTTTAGTTGTTTAGTGCTGTGACAGCACAGGCGTTTCATCTACCGAGCACTTTAACACACTGTGCTTTATTTTTAGACACCGGGCAACCATGAACATTATAGGGCAATTTTGGTCTTGACATGACTATTCTGAGACAGAGAAATACCTTTGAAACTGTTTCAATAACGACAGCATTTCTCCCCCTCTCTGCACTTTCTCGTCACCATTAGCTAAACCTGGCAAAGTACTGCCAATGGTTTCACTCAGTCAGGAAAAAAAAAGTGGAACCAGCATACAAATGATAACAGAGCTGGGTAAGCCGAGCCTTTGTCCTCTGCTGCTGTCGGTTCCCTCTCTCCACCGTTCTGCTCCTCATCAGCTTGTCTTGATTTTTCTGGCTGCAGTCAAGGCCCTCTCTGCTCCCATGGCTTTACTTTGAACACACTTTTAGTCTTCGTTCTGGTTGAAATTGAATGTGTTGTTTTGGACCTATTTGACAATATTTTTTTTCTTTTTCGTTTTTTTTTTGTGTCTTCACATTTGCACAGTATCGCGGGGCCTTTGATCATGCTCAGTCTCTCCTTGTGGCTGTTTTCATACCAACACTCCCTTCAGTTCCTCCCCTCCTCTTCCAAACACAGTTGCACACCAAGCCAGCCCACCCTCTTCCCCACCCCACCATTCACTTTGGCCGAGGCCCGTTTGCATCAGCTCCTTGTCTCTTTGACTGACATTTCTGTTCCACAGCTTACGGGAAGCCAAAGATTAAACTAGATTTAAAGAACA